GCGAATGGCACAAAGTCTTTATAGTGAGAAATTAATCTATATTCATTGTAATTTGTTTCTCAAGTACGAATCTGTGTTATTCATACCAAACCATAAACTTTTCTAGGAATGCTTYTGTCCTTCTTTTTCTTCAATCATTAGTGTGTTCTACCCTTAGTTTGACATGCTATGTGGATTACTTACAGAAATACAGAACTGTTTAGATGGGATGAAGGCCTATGTTCTGTTTCTGAGAGAATCTGATAACACAGGAAGAAGATAGTTTGTAAAGGATACAAATCTGACCCAAAAATTGGGGGCCATATAGATCCTTGACATAACAGCTGGCCAACCTGGAGCAAATTCAGCAGATGGCTGAGGAATGGAGCTCTTGTCCTGTGAGGAGGTGCTGAAGTCTTGTTCAGCCTGGGAAGAGACAGCTTCAAGAATACCTAAGAGCAGGTGTCACTCACCTACGGGAGGTTATTGAGAAGAGTGACCCAAGCTTTGGGAGGACAAAAGACAAAACACATAACTTGAAAGAAGAGAGGCTTACGTAGAAGTTTTTCACCATTAGGACAAGCGCTAGTACAGATTGTCCAGGCACGCCGTGCAATCCTTGGAGGCTTTTCAAGACCTAAATTGATAAATCCCTGAGCAACCTGTTCCAAACACACAGTTGACCCTCCTTTGAACAAAAGGTGGAACTAGAGGCTTCCTGAGTTTCCTTCCAAACTAAATTATCCTGTGGTTTGGTGAGTCTGTGTCTCTGCACCCAGTCTGATTGATTTTCTCAAAAACAGACAGGAATTAATGAATAAAGCAGCCCTCACAGCATGACCAGGGTATGAGCAAGCATCCAACAGGGAACTTGGACTGCAATCTCCTTTGGATCAGAAAAATCTACATTTATTGTTGTTGTCTGCCACAAATAGGTTCACTGACAAACAATCCTTCTCCTCAACGATCAATTGAATCAATGAATGAATCATGAATTGTCCACTTTGTTCCACTTTCCTCTGTTGAAAAATGTCTGTGCTGATTGCCTGCCAATGTATTTTGTTGTCCCAATAGATGAACCGCTGCGAACATAATCTGATGTTTGCATCAGTTCCATAACCAATTTTACAATTGTCTCTTGTGCAGAAAAATACTCCTTCCTCCCAGGTATTGTATTATCTGTCAGGAGGTGTACAGGCAGTCTATAAAAGAGTAGTCAGATATCCAAGAGCTGAACTGCACTGAGTTCTCTGCTATGTGAACTCACCAAAGAAATACATGCCACTGTAGTTTTATGAAAAAGAAAAGGGGAGGAAACAGCACTTTTTTTTATTAAATCAAGAAGGAAAATTGCCTCCAGAACTCCAGGCTGTATAGTCTATCACATAAATTTGCTGCCAGCATGTAATGTCCAAAATGTGGAAATTGCTGAACAGTCTGATGACCAGAAAGAACTTCTAAGTGTTGCTTGGGACAGTGCCTGAGATGGAATGTTAAGTGAACATTGTCAAGTCCATCCTGAACAGGGTAGCTTCTTATTATCTCAGATGAAGAAACACCTTTTTTTTTTTTTTTTTTTCTAGTGATATTAAAATGGAATTCTCTGTTCTGACGTTTCACCTGAAGGCCATGAATAGATTAAGAATAATGTGAGATTCTGAACCTCCTAATAAGTTAGTAGTCCAATTGTAGATTTTATATATACTTTGTTTTCCTAAGAATGAAGCTATTATGCAGAAAGCATTGAAAATATCTCAGTGATATTAACAGTCTGAGAAGAAGCACTCTGTCCTGGAGGTAGTTTTGGCTTGTAAGAAATCAAGAAAATTATGAAAGAATAGTAATATAAAATTTTCTTATTTTCAACTATAGTAAAATTTCTGAACTTGAACCATATTGTGTTGAGGAAGAACATCTGTATTAATCAGAAAGAGAGAGAAAGAGAGAGGGAGAAAAATGGATGGAGGCAGAGGTTTATTTCCATAAGCCTCTAGGTCCCGATAAGATCCCCATAGGCACCAAGCTATAGATGAGAGGTTTGTATTAGCAAAGAATAAGTTTTAAAGGACTCCCATTCATTTGTCTTTCAGGCAAGTGGGGAAAAAAAAGTGTTTCAAAAGTTTTTCGAGAAGGAAATATCCAAAAAGAGCAATCACTTCATAGCTCTTGATGATTCTGTCTTGTCTTCCTGCATATTTCTGCTGCAACCATACACATACTGGTAAATCCAGATAACCTTTTCTGAAAATGCTGCCAGTTATTAGGCAGCCTGCAGACTTCACAGAGTGGAAGGTTGGATTTGCTTATTTCAAATCATTCTTTGATCACTTAGACCTTTTCCCCTACAAATATGTGCACACACTCAAAGGGTACATTGTAAAATGAAAATTCCTGAAGGACAAAATCAGTCTTGTCAGATATTGAATTAGAACAGTAATTCCTGTCATCAGGGAAGGAGGATCTCTAGGGACTCGCTTTTCCTTACTTTGCAGAGAGCCTGGAATCCCAAACTAGTGAGGAATCAATAGTAACACTGGCTGAGATGCTGCACAGGTAGCAGATGGAATTACTTGTAGAAAAGTCCTTGCTATTTACCATTTATCCATGAATACTAAAAGTTGAAAATTGCATTTCAATGCCATTTGTCAACTAATCAATCAGTAAAGTGATTAGCTTTTATATGAGCAATTTGGGCTAGCAGTAAACAAAGATTCTGAAACTCAGGCTCTGTAAATACTCATATTTTCAAAAATCTGACAGATCCAAGAGTTTAGAATGTATTTTTGGATAAGAGCAAGACTGTCTTCAACCTAGTAGTTGCTCCTAGGTTTTACTTGTCCTTGCTGTGTAAATACAAACAAGCTATGCTCGCATAGACAACACAAACATCTTTTATCCTTTGTTTTTCTTTCTTATTAGAAAATTTCCAGATATGATAACTCTCCAGAGATAGAAGGTGAATCTGAGTAGTCTACTTTCAGATCCATTTATGTTCATGCAAAGATGCAAGTGCGCTGTGTTCTCAGTAGAGAATACCATGGCCTTTCCAGAATACTGAAAAAATCAGGACTCCAGAGACAGTCACAGGTCACAGTGTCTACAAATAATTTGCATTTACTCACAAAATCTAAGGGGAATCTGCATTTTCCATGATGTGGGATGCTATGTATCTCATTAGAATTAACATTAGGTGAAAGAGAGTTGAGGAACTTGGTATCAGTTTTCAATACTGATAATTTTCCCAGGGTGACAAAGTAATAGCAGTAATACTTTAATTGGTAGTACCACAAAGAAGTCAAAACTGAGTGCACTTCTAATGAATTTCAAATATTAGCACTTATTATTTATTGTGCGACATAGGTAGGAGACTACCTGTGGTTAAAAGAGCTGCTGAAAATCCTCGGAAACTAGACATTTTTATAGGTTACTAACTCTCAATTTCTGTGAATGGCATGTCCAAAACAACACAGTTTTAAGGTTCTTTTCTTAAGAAAAAAGACTATACATTTGCACTATATGTCCATTATTCAATCTACTGATAGCAATTTCTGCAATTTTGGTCAATATCAACTCCTTCAGATTGAGCTGAAATAGTTTCAAAAACTAATAAACATATAATGTAAATCATTTTGGTAGCTATAAATTTAATAATCCAATTGAGGAAAATATATTGAATGAGCTCAATAATTATTTGCCTAGTTTGGCATGCCATTAGGTCCTCCGACCACAGAAAGGGCAGACTGACAGACTGAGCAGGCACATCGGTTCATTTTTGAGTCAGTCAAAATATTTGTTGATATGACTCAGCTGTTAATAGCAGGGATTGAAAGAAAAACAGAGGCAATGTGGAAGGTATTTTTTAAAAATGTTGGTGATAGAGAAAGGATGAACTAGAAATACAATGTGAGTCAGCCCAGGGGGAACAGGAAGGCTACCTGAGATTACTGCTAATATGAGGTAGAGGGGCAGAGGGGCACAGATGTAAAGAACAGGACACAGATTCACGGGAAGTCAGATTTTGTTAATTTTGTTTAAAATGAAGTATCTGCCTCACTATCAAGATAATCTTTTGACTACAGACAAAATATACAGAACATACTTGCAGAAAATACTCAGAACTGCTTTATAGAAAAAAATCCCTCCTGATTTATTAATAAAGTTAATCTTGATAATCTTCCTGAAATATTTTTTAGCTTATTACCTCTATTTCTGCCATGGAACAGGAAACCTGCCTATGTATAGATATGATTCTCTTGCTATGAGATGACAGTCACTTCTACCTATAGGACAGCATGCTTTTTCTGAGAGTTATGTACTGGAAACAAAACTATACATATTTTGATTGGTAAGAAAGAGAAAGGATTAATTTGATTCAACTGCCCAACAGTTTGGCCAGTTTTAAGGCTTAGCAACTTTCCTTAAAATTGTTTTTTGCCATAATACCTTCGATAAATTGCCTGATTGCTTACCTGGTCAGAAAAACTGGTGCTGGAAAAAAATGCTTGTTCCTATTCTTTCTGAAATTAGTTGTTACCTATTTTTGGTGGGCTGGATGAGAAAGGTTCGTTTCTTCTTTTATGTCCATTGCTACCTGTGCCTTTACTAAGCTAAGAATAAGGTTGTTTATCTAGCAATGGATTGCAGTCTAGATTTCAAAGTGTAAGAATTCCTGTGATTTTTCCAGTTCCCTGGATCTTCAGGAATTTGACCACTGGTGCCAGGCATCCATATTACAAACTCAGGCATTCTTGTCGACCTCAGCATAGCCCTAAAACCTGAGAGGAGAACAAGTCACTCTGTGGCAGAGCAGAGTGGTATTGACATGAGGCTGTGCAGTGAATGTCAGACATACTCCTATCAGGACTAGGATTTACATGACAGAGGCTGACACTTTTCACCAGCAATTTATACACTTGAAAAAAAATAAATATCCAAAAAAAGAAAGCTCCCCCTCCCCAAACACACAGAGGCAAATTTTCCCCAGAGCACAGACTGAATGAGGAAAATAGCTGAGAGGTTACCAGTGCAGTTCTTCTGGAAGTTGAGGTTCTCCAGCGGATGCCCCGGGATGCGACACTGGAATTTGTGCTGCCAGAACTCAGGGAACCAGGGGTTGCGCGTGTTTGTGTCCAACCGCAGCTTCAGATAGTAGTCGTCAAATGACAAAACCTCTGGAGACTGCAGTTTGATAGTGATGCCTCCGTTGGCTTCAGGTTCATAACCTTCAATGACTTCATCCCTGTCTGCCCAGCCGTCACTGGAAAGAGGAAAAACCTGTTACACAGAGACAGGAAGCTCGCTTTGAAAAAGCAGCTAGCCAAAGCCAGGGCAGCACCCTCACAAATGTGGTTACGAGGAAATCTAAAACAAATTCCAGGTAAATTTTAAAATTCAGACAAAGACGGAAAAAAGAAAGAACAGTAATGGAGGCTGTTGTATGAGCAAGTCTGGCTGATTTCACACCAAGGCCTCATTAGCCATTCTGGAAAGAAAAAGACCCTTCTTTGTCTCCCTGGAAAGGAATTCTGGGCGTAGAACAGTGTCTTTATGTCTCAGGAGATTCTGTCTTATTCAGGCTGTCCTGTAACGGTAGAAACTGTAAGAATTTATATTGATAGAAAGGAAACCAAACTAGAATCCTAGGTATTCTAAAGAAGACATCTCATTTGCATGTATCTTATAGCAGAAGAGTGATTCAAGTGAAACATGATCTGAGAAATGCACCATGTTAGGGAAAATGTAGGTAGAATACTTGATAAATAGATTAAAAAAAAAAAAAAAAACACGTGCTATTCTTACACCACAAAGGCTTGGTGAAAACATATTTTTGTTTTGTTTTGTTTTGTTTTGTTTTGTTTTTGCTGACCAATGGCTTTTCTATTGTACTTTTCTGTTCATTCATCTGTTTATTCTGTTGTCAATCTAAGCCATGCCAGAAGCACTCTAACAGACATGAAAACTTTTTGAAGACATAAAAATTTTTGAATAAAGTTTTTTTTAAAGTCTGAGTCTTAGTCTAGTTCTCTTTACTAGAAGTCCATTGATTTAGTGTCATTTTCCAATTCTTTTAGGGTTCTCTAAGCGCAGTGGTATTACAGGCTGATTTAAGTGGAAATATAAATTAGCCTATACCTAATTCTAATATGATGGTCATATCATGAGAGAAATAGCTTATTTTGGTTCTCTAATCTACCTGTATTTATTCAGCACCCAACCAGTAGCAGTGAGTGCTGCTGTGAAAAGCAGATAGAAATACAGAAATATTTCAGCTATTTAAATTTCACATAGTTCAAGTCACAAACCAGCAAAAAGGATCAAAAGACACAATTTTTACTTGTTCTGTATGTGGGGAAAACTACCAAGAGGTCAGTTAAAGAATAATTAATTGACTTCTTTGCAAATTGCATGATTACTTCTTTTGGTGTCACAATGTTTATGTTTTGCAAACTGTAGAATCAAGCTGAAATAATACTGAGTCAAAAAGATTAAGTATATCCAGTCATTTTTTACAAGACTTTCTGGAAAGGAGGTAGTTTCTCCAGTGCTGAGATTCCTATCAGACAACCATTAGAATGATTTATTTCCTGTCCTCTATGAGTTTGGCTTGGAAGATTGCCACATTAACTCTGAAAATGAAGCACAGCTTTTCTGCAAAGGTGAAAGAAATGTATCTCAAGCTCTTTGAGTGCAGCTGGTGGAAAAGCTTGCCTAAATTGGAACGTAGACTGTCTTCTCATGTTTCTTTGGCTCCTTCTAGCCCACAAATGCTTTTTTTCTGTTTGTTTGTTTGTTCTCTCTTCTACTTCCTAAAATTATTAAAACTGCCTGAAAAGTCATGTGCTCAATCAAATGTGAAGAAAAGGCACTGGAATCAGAATATGGGAACTTTGCTTTACTTCCAGTAAAGTCAAGGAGCCAAGGAGAGCATGTCTCTGATTTCCTAGGGGACCTGTGCTTAGGGGACTGTCCTAGTAGCTGCAAATTCTTTCCAGTGCTTAAACTTGCCCYAGGGAGCCTGTGCAGCTTAACAAGCAGTAGTGGGAGGACAATTATTGGAGACCTAAGATCTTTTTATAATCTCTGACTAAATTTCTTTTTACTCTGTGGAAAAAAAAAAAATGTCTGAACAATATGCATCATTAGTGCTATATGAATGAATGAATAGCATGCCAGAAGACAATGGTAAAAATTTTGACGTTTCTAATACTGAACAGCATCATGATATTAAAGGCCAGATGACAGCGTGCACATCAGTGATACAATCATAAAGGCAACAGCTGATACAAGGGGAAAAATGAAATCTCATTAAAAGGCAGTGCATACTATTCTTTTATTGTCAGAGCCTAGTACTTTCCACCTACTTTTCCTTTTTTTATCCTGCTAAGCAGCAAGTAAAGCTGAATGTTGCCTGTGTGTTTCTCTCATGTGCCTTTAGGATTAGGATTTCACGAACTCCTGGCTGAAATAGCAGAGCTGCTTATGGGCAAAACAAGGTGGCCCAACATGGTCTAGCTTTGAAGCACAGCTGGTATCTTGTGCAACGGTTCAGCTGAAACTCTTTGAGGATGTTCATAATGTGAAGACAGCAGCAGTGAGGGAGGGACAAATGTGTGGTCATCAAACCAGTCACTGTTCACTACCAGCAGCGAAAGAGCCACTTGCTTTTGTTACAGTTCATGGTGTGCATCATGCTTTAAGTGGTCAATAATTTTCTGCAAGCTACTTCTGGTGACTTAGTCTAGTGCCTGTGCTTAGAAAGGCAAATTCAAATGCCAGCACACAGTCACAAGCAAAAAGGGAAAAACCCCAGGGTACCCCATCAATCATCAGACTTTTTGTTTTCCATTGGTACAGACCAAGTTTGAATAAATTAAGCCATTTCTTAAGCAATTTACTCTCCTGATGATGTATTGTAGTGGACATTTCTGAACTGTAGCAAAAACACTCGCTATATTTTTTGAACACATACATTCTTGTGACTAAAATACCAGGAAAAATATAATGGATTTCCAATTTCCTCTCCTCTCCCAAACACGAACACTGTTGACTGCTTTTCACACGGGCTGATGAGACAACCAGCAATCAAGTACTCTATTTTCATCTCTTCAGGACTTGAACTCTAAATGGCACAGTTGCAGTTCTGATCTGCTTCTCAGTACAGCATTCAGATCATTGTTTTTCCAGATGTTTATTTCCAAACAGGCAAACAAGCAACAAAGAGAAAACATTTACATGTTTATGAAGAACATTTGGAAGCTGCTCTGTGATTTTTGTGGGAGATACCATTCTTTCACAGTTAAAGAAAATGAAATATATTTGGCAGTTCGGGAAACTGTAAGTGGAAATTTGATCCTTGTGCCCTTACAAGGCATGGCCCAATATCATAGCGGCAAACTAATTTAGATACCTGTGTCTGAGGGTCTGCATCWCTGGTAGCTCTGTCAAAGGCCTCAGCATTAGCAAATGCAATGTTCTTATGATATTTGCATTGGTGATTACACTTTTTTTCCCCCTGCTATACTGGTCAAAACTGGTCAAAAAACATAAAATATAAAAGAAATTAAGAGAAAAAGCCCTTTATAAATGCTGAGTGAATTTCTGTTGCAATAGTCCTTCTACTTAAAAGAGATGTTATTATTGTAAGGCTAAATAAATTAGTCACACTAAAATAATTTCATCTCTTTTTGGATAGGTTTTATTCCAGTGGATATTTTTCTCTGGGTTAAAAAAACAGTTTAACATGCAATTATTAGGAATTAGAAAATTAAATTAGGAACATTAGTTTCAGACTTCCAAGAGCTGCCGCAGAGAAGTTCCCTGCAGATGTACAGTCATGCTCAGGTGGATCAGAGTCCATATTCTTGCTTTCCCCTACTTTCCACAAAACTAAAGCTCATGTCAATATACTTTGCTTCCACTCCCACAGAGCATGTTTCTGGATGCCTTCTTGTCATTGCTCTCAAGGCTGCCAGCTGGCCTACTGTGATATGAAACTTCTAATATATTTAAATATGAGGACAGCATCACTTAAAAACATCAACATTTGATAAATTGCCAAGGCCATTCTGTTATTTATGTCAGTCTCTTTATTTTAAAGCAAAATGATTATACTCAGGAATATTTTTTGTCATTTTATTTGCAAAGTRCCACTTTGCAAAATCACTTTTCTGAACTGTGATCAGACACTGCTTACTGGAAGACATTTCAAAATGCTACAAATCTCAAAGTAATGATAAGTGGAGTTTAAGCAGTCTGCAACCAGTTCTGATAAATATCAATGTCCTGAATAGATGGTCAGAGCAGAAAACCCACTACTTTTTTTTTTTTTTTTCTCTAGCTGTTTAGAAAAATCTTACTCTGATAAAGCCCAGCTGGCAAATCCATCATGGATTCTCATGACTGCCTGCAAGAATACAATTTTAATGGCCTCATCAGTGCTATTCTGACAGAATTCGGAGCCCAGYCTGAGACCAGTCCAGAAAGCACCAATGTGTCAGATGAGATTACTTAACAGTAGCTTCGCCAAAAAAAATCATTGTATCTCTGTATCTTATTGCTAGTCGACATGAGTGAGGGTAGCAGAAACAGACTCTGAGTAACCTGCGAAAAAACACTCCTGACAGTAGATTAAGAAAAATCTTTATCTCATCAGGCCAGTACAGTGAAAAGAGAAAACAATGCTAGCTCACGGTGAAGGAGGATGGAAAAAATTCTCTGGCAAAGAACACAATCAAAAATATTCAGTGCCCATGCTTCATATCAAAGACTGCATGGAAAGAAAAGAGAGACTGCCCAGAATTCATCTGTTGGCACATGGCAAAGAGAAAGCTGAAAAGTGCTGAAAAATATTGTTAATGAAGATCAAATCAAAACTAAAATACAGTTTAGTGTTTTGCTTTTGCTTGCTTTTACCTGGGGCTTGCAAACATTGGCTGACCTTCTCAAAASGGGAAGACTCAGAATGAGTTTACCAAGTCTTGTCAGCCGAAAGAGAAATGGGGTAAACAGTCCAGGAGCTTTGCTCATGCAGCCATAGATGGAGTAAGCAGGAATTATTACTCTCCCAGGGAAAGTATCATGAAAAGACCAGCGCGAAGAATTGGAAGCAGGCGGATAATATTACCAAGGCTCTTTCTTGGAAAGCGGTGAAAAGTAAGAGGGAGAGGAAAGACTGCCATTCTGAGCAGGTACAAGGGGAGCAACTAAGGAACATTTGCTGCTAGGCCGTGCAGTTGTGTATTTCAGATTTGTAACTCC